CAAATCATCCTGATTTGGCTACTGCATACAACAACATCGGTAATGTGTATGGCTATATGGGAGAGTCCTCGAAAGCACTTTCTTCTATAGAAAAAGCACTTGAAATTCGACAAAAAACGCTTCCTTCAAATCATCCTGATTTCGCGCAGTCATATGACAACATTGCTATGGTGTATTACAATATGAAAGACTATTCGAAAGCACTGTCATATTTTGAACGTGCCCTGAACATATACCAGCGAGCCTTATCTTCAACTCATCCTCATATTAAAAATGTAAAAGAAAGTATTGAAATTGTAAAAAAGAAATTATAAAGAACAATTGATAAATAAAAGAATATTTTGCTCATTTATTTTAAACTAGTTCTATTTTTTAGTAGCTCACTCGCGCGCACAAAGAACTCTTTAAATAATAAAAACGTAATGGACAGAGCCGATTGACAAGAGATCACATATTCATACGTACGTGTATAAATGACCTTCTCAGACATATTTATATTTTTAATTCTTTACGAGAGTATTTCTTGTAATAAAAGAAGAAAAAAAATATTACCTTAAATAGTGGTCGTGGAATAAAACAATCTGAAAAAGAATAACATGCATGGAATCGAATTGTTATAGTGTTGAATAAGGCTTCGTCTGACGAAGAAAAAGTTAAAAACTACAATATATATATATATATATATATGTGGATATGTCAGCAATACATGGTCTAACTCAGCCAATCAATTAGTACTCACCGTTAACAAGAAAGAAATGAAAAGAATAATTATTTATTAATGAGGTATTGATCGATTTAGACTTATTGAAGTTATGACGAATTATGATTTGTCGCAATGTATAGGAGCCATTTAAAATTCTTTGATCTCGAATTTAGACAAAGAGAGATATTGTTTTACGAGATATTTTACAATGATTTTTCAGTGTTTAATCATCATACTTAGATGTTTGGCAGAGGGCACCAAGATATAGAAAATAAATTATTAAGTTCAATGTATAAGAAAAACAAATGGCATATTTTTATGAAATACACTGCCTTCATAGTAGTACTATATTTCCTATATTCCTATATTTTTTAGAAAATCAAATATTTGTGCGACAAATGTTGCATAGTAATTGAGAAAAGTATGTCATATGAGTTGTAAATATATACTATCATCAGCGCTCACAACATATTATACAGATTGTAGCGAATATAGATAGTCTGTTTCACATTAGTCAATCGATATTATAAAAGAACTAGGTTATTTAGTTCTTTGTTAGTAAACAGATCTCGGATAAAAATGGCAATCGATATTTTTCTATTATATCTTTATGTAGTTCTAGATTTGACATTATTAACTGAAGAAAAATAAATCTTTGTTTTATTTGATTATAAATATTATTTGAGTAATGATGTCGAAAAATACTAATTTTAAACATAGTGAGCTTGAAAAATATACCATTGAAGATGCTAAATTGGATTTACGGTTAAAACAAAGTGAAAGAATATCAATATTTCGATGTATTATATTTAAAAAAAAATGATTTGAATTGTTCTAACCAAGGATGATTTGCCATTTTACAACATTTGTAAACAAAAGGTCATTTAGTCAATATAAAATTATTGAGGACTAATTCAGAAATTTCTCTTGAATCTTGAAAAACATAAACACCATCAACTAAAAGTTTACAAGAAAAATTAAACAAGATTACTAATATATTAGACGAAGAGACTACAAGACTTGCTGCAGCTATGAAGAATAAAAGATTTGATGATATCGGAACATGACAAAGTACTTGTCACAGCTGCTAATAGTAAATTAGCTGCTTTTAAAACTGAATGAATTGAAAATAATGAAAATTTGAATCGATTAAGAAAAAATACTTTGTAAGAATTCGAAACAGGCAGAGTAAAATAACAGGAAAGATGAAAATTAGGTAAGCTCCCTCCTGTGAGAATAACTCATAAAATATCAGGACGTTTAATTAAAAATAGGAAAATCGTGACATTTTTAAAAAATCAGGAAAGTAAACACACGGCGAGGTCTGCGGTATTATGAGCACCAGTGTTTCTAATAGGAATCTGAAGTATAGTACCTCTCGGCACGTTCAACGTGTAACTAAAGTACCATTTGGTACTTTATTTTGAATGGCAAAGTACCATACCGTGCCAAAGGTAAAAAAACCATGTTAAAAAAACACAAACAAAGTTTTTACTATTCATATATTTTCATGATGAAATAGTTCTATAGAAAAATAATGTAACCAAAGTAAAACATGTCAACAACAATCAATAGTACATACAATTGATTGCAAAAAAACTTGGAAAGATTTTTTTTAAGATAGCTATTTTTCTGCTGTTAGAAATGAATATAGAACTGATTTTTCCAGGGATAAATCCTTTTTGAGAGACATATTACATGTTATATATATATAAGAGTGTAATTTTTTTTCCCTTCTCTATTTTTTATAAGTCAATCAAAAGAATATGAAATTATACTGTTGTTTAGTGCTCTTCGTAGGCTAACTACCACATTATAAACTAATTTGAAAAGCACCTGTATAGGAGAAGATATTTGTAGAAGGTTTCCAAGTTTTTTTGTAAACAACTCTAACAAATAAATGTGCTAAGATAAAAATGGATCGAATAACCTGTTTAATAAAAAATCAATATTATCTAGAGAAGAAACAATAATTTCTACGACCGGCAGCAGATAATAAATCTCGAAAAAGAATGAACTATCTAAGCTCCACCTGCAAGTAAAACGAAAAGAAAGGAAGGACAAAGAAAAAAAAAGTAATTTATGGATAAGCTATAGTAAAACCAATAAGTAAAGTACTTTTTCATTTAACAAAGTGCCGTCTAGGTACATTGTTTTTTTCAGCAAAGTACCAAATAACGTGCCATTTCAAATTGTTATGTACCGCCGGCACTTTGCTAACACAGTCGGCACGCGCTATTAGAAACACTGATGAGCACATCTCATTTTATTCTTTCTTTACTTAATTTAAATTATATTTTATTTTTAACATCTTTTTGGTCTATACACACATTAGTATTTAAGTAAGGAAACACGCATTGCAACAGAAGAATACATACTAGTCTTTTTTTCATCTTCGTAAATAAAAATATTTCGAGTAATGAATACAGCAAGTGACATAAATAGCCTTTAGACTAAAAGATGTTAGATTTTTAATTATTTTTCAATTTCTCTTGATGCTTCAGTTATATCTCAACGCATGCATATTTTATCCTTATAAGAACGTGCCATTTCGGTATTAAGATAATTAAACTGCTCTCACTCGAGACTAGAGGTGTAAGCCGATCGGTTCAGCCGTCGCCGCCGCCGACAAGTGAAAAAAGTTGATATTTTTAAGCCGCCAATCTACTCATCCACTTACATTTCTACTCGAGACTACATGTTTTAATGTTTTTTATAAGGTAATTATGTTTCTAAATATAATTTGAAGAAATTTCAAAGATTATCAAGAAACATTAAACTCATAGAGTTTAATGTTCAATTTTAACTGCAATTCTTTCTTTTAACAGATCAGAAATGGTATGTAGACAATTGACGGCATCTTCTGTTCTTTTAGACAACTCACTTAACAAGCGATTTAGATATTAAAAAGACTATTGTTAGAAAGGAACATCAATTTAAACTACATTATATATGTTGTGTATTTTGTTGAAAAAATAACTAGAAAAGGTTCATGTATTTTCTCTCTCTGATTTAGTTCACCAATTTTAGATTGTAATGCAAGCTTGAAAATTAACAATTGAAGAGTATTACACTAATATGTCAAAACGAAAACATTCAAATATTAACCTTTGGGTTAATACTGATATGTCTCGACTTGATCAAGATGTTCATGTTATTCCAATGGAAAGTGTTTTTCAACGTTTTCATTCGAATCAACACTTTGGTTTATCAAGTCCTTTTGTACATGATGCTCAACTAAATTATGGTACCAATCAGATTACACCACCTCGATCACAGAATTATTTTTGGTTGTTATTTCAACAACTATTCATGGGTTTTAATTTAATTCTTTGGCTTGGTGGTATTCTTGCT